TGCACCTATGACAAATAAGCTTTTCTTGGTAAGCTTGTAAGAAAGCCGCTGATGTTTTGCTCACTCATTTTCAAAGCACCCTTTCCAATTGCGCTACATAATCCGCTAGCTACAGTCATTGCATTGTAATAACTCACAAACGTCTTACTTAATAATCCCCTCGTTCTTGTTTCTATTTTTCTTGATGCTCAATGCTGCTCTTTCGCTTTTGTATTGGGGCACATCCATGAATAAACGCCCATTATAAGTTCTGTATCATTTGAGCTGTAATTTCCTATCAACAATGAGATCAAAATCAGTATGTTATTTTGTTGAAAATTTTGTTAGCTTCTACTGAACATGAACATCAAACCTAAAACAATGTTATCGTCAGTCTCATCAGTAGTTGATTGGTGCATTGGCCTTTCATGTCTTTGATGATGCTATTTCAGAATGGCGGACCCTGACAAGGGCACCTCTGTCGTGGGAAAAGACCACACGCCTGGAGGATCACCTGGAATGGATTTCGAACCTAACCTCGCAGTGGTATCTGAGATCCCATCGGAGCCGGATTCCCCTCCTCTGTCACCGATCTCATTGAATGAGACAGCTCAACACGAGCGGATGCCGGAATTTCCCACTCAAGAACTATCGGAAAACCATCATGATTCAGCTTCAGCTCATGATGATTTGTCGTCACCCAGCAATAAATCAGTCACGCTACAAAGTCCGCTATCTGAACGAAGATCGGCGAAAGTAGAAGCACTGAATGCGGCAGTACTAAATTCCCCTGGATCTTCCAGAAGCTCGTTTTCATCGTCACCGGGATCTGTTCCGGGAGCTCGTCGAAAATCATCGTCAAGAAAAAGTTCCCTTACTCGGAATCCAGAGTCATCGCGTAGGCTAAGCACCCCCAACCCCAGGAAAATATCTAGAGTATTGTCAGGGTCGGAGCTGCGTGGAACACTTCCACTGAAAGTGTCACCTAGGTCAAGCATTTCGTCAACCTCTTCAAAGGAAATTCCTATGAAATTTCAGTCAATCGATCTTGAACGAGAATTACCAGAAATCTTTAGGTGAGCGTTTTTTTCTGATTTAACATCCTAAATTTATAATTCAGCACCTCTTTGAATCCTGCAATCCAAGATCCAGATATGAGCGCGTTCTACTCAAGAATCAAGAGCCCGCCACCGGTTTATGTGGGCCGAGCGTGTGAGTTAACGCTATTTTTTTTGTAAGAGCTCAGATCTGGTTTGTACGTACAAATCATAACATCGGGGTTCCACTAGTTTCGATTGCTTCATCATCCATTAATGGAATTTTTGTGCTTGGCGATACAAGGCGTGCTCAGCTGTTGAAATAACCTGAAAAGAACACGTAAGATAAAGAAGAATGATGTGGATGAAGTCTCTACCCGTTACGCGTGCAAATGCAGCATTCCAAGGTCGTAGAGCAACGCATGTCATATTTTACAAGGACTTGCAAAGGTCGCATTTGTGCCTTTCGGTGCTTCGATGCTTCTATGCTATTTTGGTATCCATTTACCGTTCCGGAATAATAGAAAGCTTTGTGCGGCGGATTAGATGAATGAATTGCGTTT